TATATAANAATATTAATTATATATATATATATATATATATATATATATATATATAGCATAATATAATAAATATTGTAAATGTATATATTAAAAAATCCTAAATTCAAATAAGATATATATTTTATGAAATAATAAAATTTATTAAATAAGAAAAAAGAATTTTTGTATGTATAATTATTAATTTTATTTAGTGTTTTTATTTATTAAATATATTTATTAAATAAAATTATATAAATAAAATTTATATAAAATAATTTTTTTGATAAAATTTTATATAATTTATTTAAAATATTATTTGAATTTTTATATTATTTTCAGGAATTTATTTTATTTTATTTAGTTTTATAATATTTTTAATATAATATAATTATAAAATTATCTTTATAAATTTAATTTAAATAAATTTAATTTTTCTACAAAGAATTATGAGTCTTAAATTATACTATGATTTATTATCACAACCAAGTAGAACTCTTTATATATTTTTAAAAATTTGTGATATACCATTTGAAGCAAAATTAATAAATTTAGCAAAAGGTGAACAATTTATACCAAAGTATCAAAATATTCATCCCTTTCAAAAAGTACCAGCTATTGAACACAATGGTTTTAATATGATGGAAAGGTATGATTATTTTATATATTATATATGTTTTATATTTCTTTATATATGCTTTATAATATATATACAATATAATATATAATTAATGACAAATTATAAAACAGATTATTAAATAATAAATAAATATTATTAAATAAATAAATATATTAGCAAAATTAATAATTTAGTTCTTACTTAAAAATAAATTATAATTCATATATATTCGTATATATTTATACAAATATAATGTCATATTTTATTTTTTATTAAAATTATTATTATCATTATATTAAAAGAAATTGTATTTAATATTTTGAAAAGTATGAAAATAAATTAAACTTAAAATTATAAATTAATATCTCTAGCTTATATAAGATACATAAGTAGAATTACTATTTCAAATTTTTATATTATATATGTTATTGATATGTTGATAATTTGTTATTAATATTTTTTAATAATTTTTTTGTCTTTAATTTTTGAGTAGTGAAATAAATAATAATAATAAAATATTATAGAATATAAAATAATTTTTTACCATAAAACATTAGCATAAAACATTATAAAAAATATTATTTCTAATAAAATTTATTTATATATCAAATAATATCATATAAAATTAATTTTTTATTATAATACTTTATTTTAATTTTATTTTTTAATTTTATTTATTTTTATTTTAATGGTTTTTATAAAACCATTAATTATTTTCAAATTATAGTTAAAGAAATTTAAGTAATTTTATAATCTATTTTAAAATCTAAAGAATATTGAATTTTGCAGTGTTGCAATTTTGAGATATATCTGTAGAGAATTTAAGGTAGCTGATCATTGGTATCCTAAAGACTCAAAACTTCAACTTAGAGTTGATGAATATCTTGAATGGCATCATTTAAATACCAGACAACATTGTAGTATGTATTTTGTTATGAAGGTAAAAAAATTCTTTATATATATAAATAATATATAAAATGATATTAAAAATTGTATGTTCTTTCAAATATATTTATATTTTATATTGCATATAATTATATATATTAATATGCAAATTTTATTATTATTTATTAGTATTTTTTCAATATAAATGATGCTAGAAATTGTATATTTTTTTAAAATATATTTAAATAATTATATATATTAATTTGCAAATATTAAATACAAATTTTATGCTAGTATTTTTTCATTGAAAATTAATTTTTTTTTCATAGTATTTAATGCCAAAATTAAGTGGACAACCAGTGACACAAGAAATTATGAAATATGAAAAAAATATGATTGAAATACTTAATGTTTTAGAAAATGTTTGGTTGAAAGACAAAAATTTTTTAACTGGTTCTGAGATTAGTATTGCTGATATTCTTGGAGCATGTGAAGTGGAGCAAGTTCGTAAGTAATGATGCATATATTTGTTAAAAATTAATAATAAAAATAGAAAAAGATCCGAGATAATGTTTAATTAATTTATATATACTTACGTTTATATTATTACGTTCTAAAGGTTGTAAATAAAAAAATTCATACATTATAACATGTATAATATTTCAATATTTTATCATTTGTTATAATATATAAAAAAATAATAATTGTTAAAGAAAAATATTTTTAACAATATAAACTAAAACAAGAAATAATTATCGATTGCAGGAATAGGTGGATATAATCCTCAAGAAAATCGACCTCGTATAGCTGCATGGATGAAATGTGTTAAAGATAAAACAAGTCCTTATTATCAAGAAGCACATATATTTTTAAATAAGCTTGCAACTAAGACAAAAGAAGATGTATTAAAGAGCAAGATTTAAGATTTTATTCATCATATATGTATTATATGTATTATATATGGATATATATATATATATATGGGTATAAGAATTTAATTGATTTTATATAATATTATAACATTTTTAATATTTTCATATTTAGTTTTTATATTTTTTCATATTTACTGTTCATTTAACAGTATTGTTTATCTAAAGATTTATATCATTTGAATTATATTCATAATGATATATAAAATATTACATATAAATATAATAACTAATTCCAATACTATTGATACATGGAATCAATACAGCACGGTTATATATATATTAATTTTATAACTTTTTATATATCTATATATATGCGTTTGTAATAATTATTTATATTTGTGCTTAAAAAGTTATTATACTCTACTATATCGATATGATTGTTTATATTTAAATTTTTAATTTGTATACATATATGAATACAATGAAAAAAAAATTTTAAACAATAGAATGATATGATGATTTATATTTTATTTTACATTCGTTTATATTTTTATTTATTATGCAGCTATATTTTTAAATCAATTATATAAATAAATAACAATATTTTTTTTCTTAATTGAAATTTAATTCAATCAAGATTATTAATTAAAAAATATAATGTAATAATATACTAATATGAAGTTTCATAAAATGGTAAAAATACAAAAAAAGAACTTTGCTTTTTATTTTTAATTATTTTTAATTATTAATAAGTAAAAATTTGTTAAATTTCCATATTTATATAAATAATTTCAAAAAAAATTTTGATTATGCAATTGCTCTTTGAACAATCTATTATAAAAGTAAAATCTTGAACATTTATATTTTTTTTTTGTTAAATATATTATTAAAGCTAAAATCACAATAATATTATTGTCATTTTATTTTTTTTTTAATTATATTTATTATTTATAATTATTATTTATAATTTTTAATATTATAAAATAATTTAATATTGTAAAACATTTTTTATGCTAAATAATAATTTTAAGTGAGTTTTTTTAATTTTGGCATTTTTTTTGGGACATCTTTGAACATGAATATACCAATGTTTTTCTTGGCACCGTTCATCACAATAAAATGCCATTTCACATCCTAAGCATTTAAATTTTGGCCCAATAATACCACAATTCGAACATGTAAAATTATGCAAACTATTTGGACTACGATTCATTTTACCAAGATGTGGTGTCTCACAATTTCTAGGTTCGTTTGCTGATACATTTTTTGATAATTGAGCATGTGATGAAATTAATGGCATCCGATATGATGCTGGGGGAATAATAGATGTCATTGTTTGGGAATCAATAGCTGAATTTGTTTGTGCAAAATTATCCGTGTTTTTCACGAGTCCTAATCGATCAAATAGAAAATTTTGCATTTGTTGATATTTTGTATTTTCATGATTTTCTTCATTAAAATTATTATCTTGAGTTTGATTAGTCATATCGCGATTAATTGATTTGGCAGCATTTGATACATGAGGCGATTCTGTATCAATTATATTTGTAATGCCAGCAGTCGATAATGCATCTGTATCAGTTCTATTGTAAGTTAATGTATCGCGTTGTCTATCAAAAGAAGCAGCAGCGGCAACAGCAGCGGCTGCAGCAGCAGCAACAACATCTGGAATCATTCTATTACGAGAAAATTGATTATTGTTGAATATCCGATTAGAGGACTTCGAGCCAAAGTTTGATGCGAAGAAGATAAAGATGGTGATGATAAAAACAATGATGGTAAACAGGTTGAAGTGGCAATGTTATTAGTAGTAGAGTTTCCTCGAAGACGATCAAATTCCAAATTATTCGAATGCTGTAAAGTGTTCGTCGATGGAGAGGAATATCTCACAATTGGATCTTGTATCAAAGGAAAACGTTTATCCATATGTTGCATTGATCGTAGATTTTCTTGTATAGGAAAATGATACCCTGGTAAAGAACTCGAATGTAAACGCGGATGATATGGATAAGTACCATAAGGACAAATTGTTGGATGATAACTTAAGGTAGTACCATTGTAAGGATCGATCTATAATTAAAAAATTTATATGATTATATATAATATTATAAAAATACTTATTTAATTCTTTTTAATGAATATTGATAAACTGTATCAATTTGCAAACAATTATATATATATATATATTTTAATCTATTAATTATATAATTTAAAAGATTTTTAAATTTGTCAAAACAGAACAATTAAAATGCATTTATCTTAATTCTACTTACTGTATAATTGTTTGGATAAAATTGTGTCATAGAAATAGGCGGACAAATACCAGGGCGTAAAGGTGGAACTGCTGCAATAGGTTGTGAAAGAGTTACAGATGTTCCAATATGTAATTGCTGTGGTTGATGATGGTATTGTAATTTTTCTGCATTACGTTGAGATGCTATATTCATTATATTGTTGTTTATATTAGGACCTATCATTTTTGGTATTTCGGTCCCAGAAACTTGCTATAGTATGTATATAAAATTATGAGAATAAATCGGAGAAATTTTAAAGAATATTAAAAAATTACACGATAAAATAAATAATAAAAAAGAAATAATTCTTACGCCTGTAGTATTCTCTGCTGCTGTAAATGAGGTATTTCCTGAGGTTTGTAATTTGGGTTTGCTTATCGAAGTTTGTTTTTTCGACATTCGAGCCAACCAGTTACCAAGAGTCGGAAACTGTTCAGTTATAGAATGATTTCCGCCATTCCTTTGTACAGAATCAATCGGAATTTCTTCTCCTTTATAATTTTGTCGTAATCTGCTATTCATATAAATATTCATATATATAGAAGTTTACACAATAAAATATATATATATATATTTTATTTAACTTACGTAGAATATTTCTGATTTAATACTGTCCGTGGAACATCAAATTGAGTTTGTTGAGCCGAACTCGATGAAATCTGAAACAAATTCAAACAAAATTTTTTTTTCAAAATTTTTTTCTTCATTGTTTTCATGTATTAATGTGATTATTTTTTTTACAAACTTTTTGCGCATTTAGAGTGTCTTGATGGATTTTCGAGAACGAAACTTCCTCTTGATTGGATTCATAAAAATTAGGCTGTAATATATGCTTTCTTGACGGAGAAAGTTGTTTGTCAGGCATTATCTCAAACGTCTCATTCTCTTGAACAGGTACTTCTTCACTACCAGTTATCGAACTTATTATCGGTCCAGTATCAGAAAATTCAAGACATTTGATTTTTTCTGGTTCTTGTGTTACAAGACGACATTGAGAGAACCCCTCCATCGATTTACTCCTTTCATCTTTTTTTTCTTGAGTCGCGCGATTATTCTTTGAAAATTGAGCAATGTTTTCACGATTATTTAATGTTTTTTTATCGATATCACGATCGGAATTTTCAATATTAATATTGATATTATTCCCCATAGGCGTAGTTCGTGCGTGTTTTTCAAGATCCGAAGGATCTTTGTCTACAGAATCAGCCTGAAGAGAGTCCATAGAAAACGTTGGTTTCGTCAACTCTTCGTTAACAGGCCAAACTTTTCTCTCTGCGACTTGTAGCTCCTCCTCCACCGAATCTTGATTCGATGAGATAGTTAGACATATCCTCGGTAAAATTGGTGGGCTATTTCGAATTTCTTCCGGCAATATACAATCTAAAGACGATCGTGGTGACAGTTTTGGCGGCTCGGGTGACGACGTTGGAGAAATGTTATTCACCGAAATATCCATGTCTGAACTTCTCTCGTTCAAATTCATACACGGATATTTGTTATCATTAATACTATTAATACTATCGTCATTTACATCGATCACTTCCTTGGAAACTGAAAGCGCTGCGGACAGTTTGCTGTGCAACTTTGACAGATTTTCTATTTGCTTCTCGTAACGATTCATCACCTGCCTCAGTCTGGTATTTTGCTGATTATTCGAGTCGTTTGCCATTTCCTTGGCCAACTCAGAAGCTTTGCCACGTAGTTCGCGAAGCTTCTGTTTCAATCTATTCCGCCGATATTTCAGTTTGTAGCTATCGCTGCTTAAAGATGCTAGATTTGTGTCTTTTTCATAGATCATATCATTCCAATTAGGATTTGTTGGTGATTCAGATGTCGTGTCTGTGATGATTCTGTAGTTTGACTCTGATCCCGGAATGATTTGAGAACTGTCGTATCCCTCCATCTCTGTTGCCAGATGTTGTAATATTTATTTATTTTAATTAATGTGTTTGTATAGGATCATAAATTGTATAATTAAAAAAANAAA